GGAGGAGGAGGAGGTGGAGGGGTAGGGAGATGAGGGGGAGGGGAGGAGGTGGAGGAGGAGGAGGGGGAAGGGAAGAAAAAGGTGGAGGGGGAGGAGGAGGGGGAGGGGGAGGAGGAGGAGGAGGGGGAGGAGGGAGAGGAGGGATGGAGGGGGCCGGGAGAAGGAGGAGGAGGGGGTAGCGAGGAGAATAAGAGGAAGAGGAAGAAGAGAGAAAATGAAGAAAGAGGAAAGGAAGAAGACAGACAGGAAGAGGAGGAGGAAGGAGGAGAAGGAAGAGGAGGAGGAGGTGGTCAGGGGGAGGAAGGGCAGAGTCAGCAGGTCAAATGGGGCGGGGCCCTGCATGCCCTCTGGGGGGCTGGAATTTACCCCACAGGAATGGCAGAGTCAACGAACGCGTGGACTCTCCCACGTCACAAAGCCGCCTACCACGGTCTGCCCCCACCGACTCCTCTTAGGTGCAGGCACTTGTCTTCAAACAAGATTTCCCTGCACCTCCGGGCGCTCGACGATCCCAAACACGCGGCAGTTCCTCACCTCGCCCAGCGCCTACCTGACAGGTGAGCGGCACACGCTTACGCACACGCACGCCCGCACGCCCGCACACGGGCTTCCCACGCGCACCTCGTTCCAGGGCCCCGTCTTCCACTGCGAGGGGCAGGGCGCTCTGTTGCAAGGCCGGCGGTTCTCGGGCCTGTCGCCCGCGCAGTACTTGCTGTGCACCGAGCGGTTGGTGCCGTCGCGGAGCGGCTGCAGGCAGCGCACGGTGCGGAGCTGGTAGCCGGTGCTTCCGCAGGTTTTGGTGCAGTGCTCCCACTCTTCCGCGACCCAGCTGCGGCGTGGGGGTTAGGATTGAACACGGTCACTGGGTGTCGGTGCACCGTCCCGCCCCGCAGCCTCGCCTTTTCTGCTCTCTGAGCGACGCGCAACCCAGGGGGCGCGCTTACAGCTCCGGAAGCAGTTTCAGGAGGACGGAAGCAGCGAGCAATTCACAAATCTTAGAATGTTCTCACAGTAAATGCCCAACGCTTCTATTTTTAATGCCTTGGTATTCTTCTGCCTCACACTGACTTGGAAACCTGTTTTTCTGAAGGGTGATCGACAGAGGGTTTCTGAAACTCATCTTAAGGTTGCCTGGTTAGGTTCGGGCATACTGGCAATTTTTCAAAACTACAATGGACTGTCGGCCAGGTTGCCAAATGGTGGTGCACATCTGAAAAGAAATTTTAAAAGGGACTCCATCCGACACTTTCTGAGACAACCTGATTGGGCTGCTGTTGCTTTTTCAAGAAATCCCGAGTTCACTCACGTTTTAGTACTCTTACTGAGATGCCTACTTCCTGCGCACAACCGTGGCTGGGAAAGCTCCCTGCACGGTCTATCCGGTTTGGAAATTTCAGCTCTGCATATTGGCCCTTATTGGGTCTGACAAAAAGATAAAGGTGTGTGCGTCCAGGGCTTGAATGCACCTGGTGGGAAAATTTCTAAAAACGTATTTTCAGAAAGAGTCCCCAAGGGACATGCCCAAATTCTGGTGTTGATGTCAATGCCCCTGACACTCTCCACATCAGCTGTGGACACCATATTATGGACCCAGGTGCCAAAGGGCAGTCACCACAGATTCCATTTAGTTAATCATGTCTGTCATAATGTAATTGAGGCAGACTATTATTTATCCTTTCCAAAGCTACTTTCCCACTGCATTTTTTTGGTGTCGTATATATGGGGCACCAAAATATAACCATGCTAAAACCTTGGCAGTCTTTGGTATTCATAGTTTAGGATGGCTTTAGCTCATCAAACTGGCATAGAATGCCTTGTACCAACTGAGACATTGTTCTCAATTTTAAAGACCTCAATACTAACTCTCACTGGAAGACAGATTATTATATGATATGAAAAGTATGCATTTTGTAGTCATAGATACTCCTGGTTACCTTTATTCCCTCCTGAAATTCCTCAAATGACAACAAAGGAGAAAAATGGCATAAATCCACAAACGTAAACAAACCAAAAAAAATGGAATAGAAGGCACCAAAAGAAAGTTTTGAACCCAGAAAGCAGTGGGACATATGGCTGCTAACTCAGTAGACCTAAAAAGGATGAAGTTTACCTCAGCAGTAGAGGCTGGTTAAGCAACCTGACTTGCCGGTGGAACTTCAGAAATGTACTGGATTTTGCTCTCAGGTCAACGTGTGGGCTGTGAAAATGTGGGTGAAGCCAGGACTAAAAACAGAGGGCTGATGAAAAGTCTGTTCAGAAACAGACCTCCTGCTTCTTACCCCCACTGGCTGACTCCCCTAAGCCAGCAGGAGGTTTGAGGCTTATCCTCTGTTGAAGATGAACCAGACTTGTAGCTTGTGGACAACAGACATAATCAAGAGACGACAGAGAAAGAGACCAGAGTGAAGATGGGGGGTGATGTAAGAATCCACATATGGAATGGGAAGACAACCCTAGCTGCCTACACATATACAACTTCCAGAGAAGCTATTAAATAGGGTTATAACTCCTGGGCAGGAGATTAATTCTGCTCTTTGGAATTTGATCAGTTCATTAGAAAAGCCCTAATACACAATTAATGAAGGGTCTTCAGTGAAATAGCCCAGCCAGCTCACCCTACAGTGAAGCCCACCAGCAAACAAGTCTTGACCGTAAAGCAATCTTCCAAGAGCCCTTTTAACACTTCATTCTTACACATACATGAACAGCCAACAATCACCAGACACAGAGAGCCTCTAACACAAATGATAGAGGGGAGAAAAGAAATAGAAAAGAACTCAAAAGAAGTCATGCATAAAAATGAAAATTATCTTTAATATCATAAAACAGGTAAAATAAAATATACTACACCTGTGACATAAGCATCAAGTGGCTTTAAAAAGGAACATTTGAGGAAGAAAACAGAGTGCTTGAATAATAAAGTGCTCTTGGATATTAATGACATAATAGTAAAAATGAAAAATTCAGCGAGTAAATAATAGGTGAGAAAAGAAAAGAAAATTAGATCTGTTTAGGAGTCCTAACTACAAATATCTCAGAAAGAAAGAATATTGAAAAAAAGGGTACATTTTTTAAAGAAAAAATACAGGAAAATCTCCCAGGGATGAAAGATAATTGGTTTTATGTTTTAAAAAGTCATGGTGTGCACAGCACGATGGATGAAAAATGTTGAGCGCCAAGGCAGTTCCATCACAGTGAAAGGTAAGGATGTTGGGAACAAAAGAAGGTCTTACAAACTTTGAATGACAGACAAAACTAGAAAACATTGGGAACCAGAATAGCAAATGACTTTTCAATAGCAACATGGGATTCTGGGAAACAATGGAACAGTGGTTTCAAAATTCTGAAGGAAAATACATTACAGTTTGGAAGTGTGTGTGTGTGTCCCAATGATTAAGAGTGAGAGCAGAAGAAAGACTTCCTACTCTTACACTTCAAACTCTTACCTACTTCTATTAGGTGTAGGAAAATCTCTTGTAAAAATTTTTTTTTACTTTGTATATACTTTTTTCATGAAGCTACTGGAAGATACGACCAACTAGAAAAACTGAATACATGAAAAGATAAAAAGACAAGAAATGCAGGAAATAGGAGATGCAAAAGAAAGGGAGTAGGAATACCTCGGAAGAGGTAAAGAGAAGCCCCAGGAGGAACAGAAGTCCGGGAGGGCAGCACTGGAACACTTAGAACTTCCTAAGTGAGATCTCTAAGACGTTATGAGTGACAGGATACTTGAGTATTTAGTATTTATAGGAGATTGATACTCATGGAAGACAGTTTAGGGATGAATTAGTGAAAAGTAGTAGAAAACAAAATATAAAAAAATCAAGCATTCAATAATTCGAGAACAAAGTTTCACTAGGAAAGAAGGAGTATGCTAATAAGTGACTCCACTGTTAGGAGAGATAGAAGTTGTTAATATAAACTCTGAATATTATTAACAGTAAAAGGTGGGTTATAAAAATATTGGAAATATGGAGGAAGATAAGTCTAGGCTGTAGGTGTGTATTTGGGGGAGGATTATGAAAGAATGGAAAATCCTTCACATCCCACATTAGAAATTTGAAATACATAATGCCCTAAGCCTGCCCCACTCCAAAAGTCAAGTGGACACAAAAACATTTTAGTTAGGGAGTTGGAAACAAGTAGGTACCAAATATCAAGAGAAGCTAGAAAGTAGTTGTTTTTAAGGAGCAGGACTATGGTAAAGGGCAGAGAGCCACAGCTTTATATAATTTCTCTGAAGTGATTTGACTCTTTAAACTTGCTATGTTTATTAGCTTTGACTAAAACTAAAATTAAAGGGTGCCTAGGGTAGCTCAGTCAGTTGAGCATCCAACTCTTGTTTTCAGCTCAAGTCATGATCCCAGAGTTCTGGGATGGATCCCATGTCAGGCTCCACACTGAACATGAAGGCTGCATGAGATATTCTCTCTCCCTCTCTCTCCACACCCCATCCCGCCCCTCTCCCCTGCTTGTGCGTGCTCTCTCTCTAAAATAAAATAAATTTAAAAAACTAAAGATATTTAAATTTCTATCATCTTGTCCTCAGTATCCGGTAGTTAACATGACTGCTTACAGTGGATGTGTGCACTCTTGGATATTGCACATTCTTCTGATAGGTTTTGGCTTCTTGTTGGCCTCACAGAAGCTGCGGTGAACCATCTTATTATCACTCTTCCTACGGCATCCATATTTAGTGTACTGGAAACCTAGGAAAGAAAATACATTTCTCTGGATTTGATCACTTCTTCATTCTGTGATATATTTGATCATTCATTCATTCATTCAATGAATATTTACTGAGTACATATAGTAGGCCAGGCACTGTTGTAGATGCTGAAGGTCCAGAAGTAAATTAAATAAACAAAATCCTTAACTTTTCAGAGCCTACATTTAATGCATATTACAAATTATTAAATAGCAGCTGTACAGATGCTAATAAACTAGACCCTGAATACATAGCATCTACTGTGAGGGGCAGATTTGAGAACCACAGTGATCATACCCAGTGACACAAGCTTTCAGAGAGTTATGTAAATCATTTACTGTAGAGGGCACCAAAGGAACACAGAGAGGAAGTTCTCAAACAGCTGGAGGAGGGGTAGCCAGTACTTACAAAACCAGCATTTCTTGAACAGAATCATGAAGTTCAGAAAGTATTGGGTAAAGGGAATGAAGCAGAAGAATACTCTGAAGAGAAAAGGAAATGACATATAAAGAAACTGAAGATCTGTTTGAATGGCTGAAGTTTCATATGTGAAGGTGGCAGGAGATAGGAAAGAATCCAATCTTAAAAGCCTTGAGTGTCAGACTGGTGTTTGGACTTTATCTTGATGGTCATAGGGAGTTTTTAAAGGTCTCCCCAATCACCCTGACATCTCTAAGTAAGTAATTAAATAAATAAATATTTTAAAAATATTGTTTAAAAAATTTCAAGCCTACAGGGGCACCTGGATGGCTCAGTCGGTTAAGCTTCCAACTTTGGCTCAGGTCATGATCTCACGGTTCGTGGGTTCAAGCCCCGCATCGGGCTCTCTGCTGACAGCTAGCTCAGAGCCTGGAGCCTGTTTCAGATTCTGCGTCTCCCTCTCTCTCTGATCCTCCCCTGTTCACACTGTCTTTCTCTCTCTCAGAAATAATTAAAAATATAAAAAAAAATTTCAAGCCTACAAAAATGTTGTAAGGAAAGTGCAATGAACATTTGTATGCCTTGAATCTACATTAACCTTGTGTTACATGTCACTATATTTGAGGTGAATACAAGTGTATCTTTTCATCTGTGATATATTAATTATACTATGCAATATATATGATACATATGTAAAATTTTGCAGAACTATTTGAGAGTAAGTTGCTGGCATTCTGATCCTTCATTTCTAAATACTTCAGCATATTGCTCATAACAAGCATACCTCTTATAAAATTCTTAAAATCAGAATATTTAACATAGATATAATACTATTATCTAATATACAGACTATATTAAACATTTGCCAGTTGTTCCTATAATGATCTTTATAGCAATGTTTTTCCAATTAAGGATTATGCACTGCATTTAGTTGTCATGGAATTAAGCAGGAATAGTTTCTAAGCATCTTTTTTATCTTGAGTATTTTTAAGATGTACAGGCCATTTGTTTTGTAAAATGTCCCACAATTTGGGTTTTATTTAATTGCCTCCTAATGATTAGATTCATGTTGTTTACTTTTGGCAAGAATACTACATAAATTATGCTATGCCTTTAGAAGAACACATTAGGATGTTAAAGTAGTTAAATCAAGGAAATAATAAAATTCCACTAATTCATTCATTCATTCATTCAGTTATCCTGGAAATAAAGGAAGAGAAGAAAATAAAATTAATTGACTAGTGAAAAGACTTTTGCAATAACCTTCCTTTCAAAATCATGCAGAAAACTGGTTGAAGGAGAAATAGATGTGGCAGATATTAAAAAGGTGCATCTGACAAATCTTGTAACCAAGGAGATGTTGAAGGTCAGGCAGAAGGGAAGATTCAAATTAAATAAGAATTTTATAATGGATTAAGTGTCATTTTAAATAATTAACTAAAAACATTTTATGCCCTCTCTACCTCAAAAAAACTCTCTTTAGAAACACATCCTTGGGGGTGCCTGGGTGGCTCAGTCAGCTGAGCGTCCGACTTCAGCTCAGGTCATGATCTCGCAGTTTGGGGGTTCAAGCCCGGCATCGGGCTCTGTGCTGACAGTTAGCTCAGAGCCTTGGTGCCTGTCTTCAGATTCTGTGTCTCCCTCTCTCTCTGACCTTCCCCCACTTAGGCTGTCTATCTCTCTCTCTCTCTCAAAAATAAATACAGCATTAAAAAAAAAAAAAAGAAACACACACATCCTTGGGGCACCTGGGTGGCTCAGTCAGTTAAGCATCTGACTTCAGCTCAGGTCATGATCTCACAGTTCATGGGTTCAAGCCCCACATCAGCTAGCTCAGAGCCTGGAGGCCGTTTCAGATTCTGTATCTCCCTCTCTCTCTGACCCTCCCCTGCTCACGCTGTCTCTCTCTCTCTCTCAAAAAAAAAAAAGAAAAGAAAAAAAGAAACACATCCTTTAATTAAAATGATAAAACAAATGGTTGATGAATTCCCTACTCTGAACAATTTTTGTTTTTTGTCCTCGGTTACTCAGCATCATTATTGTGAAAGCCCCTTGTCTTCATGTTTCTGTCGGGGAAAATTTCTTCTAGGCCAGCTCAATTCTGGAGCATTTATTGTTATTATCTGAACTAGAGTAAGGGATGAAGTGAGAAACTGAAAAACTCTGAGAACAGCTAAACAGATTAACTTGGAAAAGTGGGGAGAGGCAGCACAATGTAGTGAGAACATGTAGCCAGAAATCAGACCACCTGGGTTTGTATCTTAGGCAAATCACTTATTTTCCCTGGGCTCCACTTTCCTGATCAGTAGCATGAATCATAGTGCTGACCTCACAGAATCATTCTGAGTATTCATGGACTAAAATAGAGAACATTTAAAACAGTACCTGCTACAACTCTAATAGCTCCTTTAATACTAACACTGATAGCAAAGAAATGCACAGGTATGGAAAGTAAAATGAACAAGAAGAATAACTGGAACCAAAGGACACATTTGGGAGAGTTTGGGAAGAGTAAAGTCATTAGAGGACCCACTACATGAATATGAGACAGAAAGAACCAGAGGGAAAAGAGAAAGGGGATTTTCAGAAGGCTTACGGTTGTTATGAATGGACTGCTATCCTTTGTAGATTCAGAGATTTCAGTAAAAATGTTTTGTACTTATGTTTTAGTTGTTAGGTTTGCTACTTCTCAGATCACAGCCTCAATGAGAGGCAGTCTTTAAGGCAGAAAGCACAATGACTTGGTTTATATGAATGACATTTGAATGTGATAAATGTGTTCAATTGTTACCTCCGCCACAGGGTTTGGAACACTGAGACCAGCTCTTCAAAGCCCACTCAAAAGTATCTAATTCTTCCTGGATGACATTGTTGCTGCTGATCGTAGGTGCAGAATCTTCATGAATGATGTATTTATATGTCAGGCTGGAGTGGGTGTCGTTCTCCTGAGGTATGATCTAATATACACATGAAACAGATAGGTAAGTCACCTGAGGGGGGTTTACATTTTGAATAAAAATTACAAATATTTCACAATAGTGCTCTTTTTAAAACTGGAAGGCTTTCAAGCAGTTCTAAAAATATAATGTTTCTATCAACTAAAGTGCAAGTATGCCTTGTTTAAGAAAAAAATGCAAATATAAAAGACTTTGACCATAGAAAGTATAAAAAATATACTGAGGTATAAGAGTTTACATAATAAGAACATAACTTTACAGTAAGATTCAGTAACTTTAATATATATATTAAGTTATAGATCTTATTTCATTTGAAAATTATTCTTTAAAATAACTGTTTTGTCATGATGATAAAGATGATAATGTTCCCTTTAGAAACTGTACACATTATGAAAAAACCAAAAATAAAAATCATCCCTGATTCTACTAAACCAGAGAAAACCAAAGTCACTTATGTTATTTTGTAATATGCCCTCAAGATATTTGCATACTGTGTGGTGTGTGTGTGTGTGTGTGTGTGTGTGTGTGTGTGTACCCATACATGCTTTTCTGGCTTTGCTTATTTCACTTAATGCGTCATGTACATTTCCCAAGATAACCAATATTCTTTGAAAACATACCTTTAAATGTCAGCATAGTGTTTAATCCTAAAGGTAGTATGCATTTTTTAATGAATCACTTGTTAATATATACTTGTATTGATAAGAATTTGTCCCCACCTTGTGGTGATTTCTAATTTTCCTTAGTGAGCTAAGAGTACAAGCATTTTTGTTGTTATTGTTGTTCTTATATCAGACTGGTGAATGGCCCTTCAGAATAGTTAGAACAATTATTACTTTCATGATGAGAGTATACGAATGTACCCATTCAGTACTACATACTATACGATTTTCATCTTTGTTAATTAAATGGGGAAGATTGTTATTTATTCAATAAATATTAATGTTTAATTTTCTTGGTTTATTAGTCACTTGTGTTTTGTTGGCTATACGCTACATGGTCATGTCATGTCTTCTTTTCTATTGGTATACATATCTTTTCTCTAAATAATTCATGCAGTAAAGACATTAATCCTTTTGTAATAAGCACTGCAAATACATTCTGGTTTTTTTTTTTTTTTTTCAGTTTGTTCTCAATTTTGTTTAGGGCAATGTAACTCTTTTTAAAAAAAATAAATTTTTATTGACTTGCACATACTAACTTTTATAGAATTACATCAGTTATACAAAGGGGAAAACATGTGTAACTCATTAGTATTTTAAACTACACTTTTAGAAATAGCTTTTGCTTGAGTAATTGAGTACTATTAAACCGACTAGAATGAAGGATTTGGTTATCTGGCTTCTGTTCTCTTTTTCTCCCTTAGTCTTTATTTTTAAAACAACATTACAAATCAAGCATTGACCCTGACACTCTAGCCAGATGCTAATGCCTTCAGCCCCACACAGCTGCTGCCATGCTCCAGGGCTCCCAACATAGGGTTCTAGCCCTTTAGAGAGGAAAAGCAAGGCCTTGGTGACAGAGACTTCCACATCCCACTGTCCTAGCTACAGATCTCATATCTGATATAAGCTCTGTAGCTCACATCTCATCTCTAGCTCACATTGGTCCCTGCAGTCACCCAGCTACCAATGGACAAAGCCTTGAGGTAGGCGATCATGGCAGTTAACGGCAGGGCTTGGAGCCCTGTGCCTCTGGAAAAGAACACAGTGTAATTATAAGAATGAATAGAGCTTCTGATCTCCAATCATTCAAATTAAAAAAATCTTGATTAGTTACATTTTTGCTAAAAAATTATATAACCTACAGAATAGAATGACAGAAATAAACCCAGATAAATTTGAACAATTAATTTTTGACACAGATGAAAAGACAACTTAGTGGAAAAAAGAGGATTTTTTCAACAAATGGTACTAGAGCAAGTCATTGTGGTGGCTTTAAAAATGTGTCCACAGGGACACCTGGGTGGCTCAGTCAGTTAAGCATCCGACTTTGGCTCAGGTCATAATCTCACGGTTTGTGGGTTTGAGCCCTGCGTCAGGCTCTGCGCTGACAGCTCAGAGCCTGGAGTCTGTTTCAGATTCTGTGTCTCCCTCTCTTTCTGACCCTCCCCTGCTCATGTTATCTCTCTCTCTCAAAAATAAATAAAAATTAAAAAAAAAATTTAAAAAAATGTGTCCACAAATCCTTTAATACTTTTTCTCTCTCAATGAGTGGGCTTAATTCTTCTCCCTTTCAGTGTGGGCCAGATTCAGTGACTTGCTTCCAGCAAACAGACAATAGCAGAAGTGATGGGATGTAACTTCCAAGATTAGGTTAAAAAGACTTCTGTCTTGGCTGTACTCTGTCACTTGGATCACTCCTTTTAGTAGAAGCCAGCTGTCATGTGACAAGCACACTTAAGGAGGCTATGAAGAGGCTCATGTAGTGAAGAACCCAGGGCCACCAGCCATCACATGGAAAAGATTAGAGGCAATCTTCTGAGGCCTTCCAATAGCTCTGTGATGGAGCTGGGAAGCAGATGTCCCCAGAGGAGCCTTGGGGTGACTAGCCACAGCTAATAGCAACTTATGAGACAACCTGAGCCAGAACTAGCCATTTCGGCAACTCCCAAATACATGACCCACAGAAACTATGAGATAACCAGTGTTGCTTTGTGCTTAGCTACTAAGTTTGGGGCAATTCGTTATAATAGTTATAACTTCTACCAAAAAAAAAAGAAGAAGAAAATACTTTAACATTGGATTTAGGTAGAAAAAAATATATGGAATACCAATATCTTGATCTATTAAAGAGAAAGTGGATAAATTAGACTTCAGGAAAGTTAAAATATTTCACTCTGTAAAAGACACTATTAAGATAATAAAAAAAACCCTATAAATTAGGAGAAAATATTTGACAAATCATATATTTTATAAAGGACATATCAAGTATATATAACAAACTCTTAAAAATCAACAACAACAACAATAACAAAACCTACTTTAACAATGGGCAAAGGATTTGGACAGACACTTCACCAAAGGGAAATAATTTTCAAAGAGTAAAAAAGCACTTTGGAAATGAGTGAGAAGTTTTAGTCTTAAGTTAGTATAATATTTTCTATAGAGAATTCAATAAATATTTGCATACAGAATCCAACAATATTTTTCAAATCAAGTAGATGTCTTCTGCTTTCATCCACCAGACAGTAATGGAGCAGCCTTGCTGATACTAAAAGCAATAAAATTGGACAGGATATATGAAGGAACTTTTTTGGGGGGCACTGTATAACAGCAAAGTATAGTGATTCCAATGAAAAGAGAAATGTGCCAGGTCCAGGCTTCTTGACAGGGTCAGGTTATGGACCCTGGCACAGGGAACAGAAGGTGAAGCCAAGATATAACTCTCACTGAGATAAGGAGATGGTGTTTGGAAAATGCAGGCAAGACACTAAAGAAAGGGCTGAAAAGAGGGGTGGCTCACAACATAGACTGAAGGCTGGTCCCCACATGCCCTGGCCAAGACACCATGCCGACTACTACTGAGGGCTGCTGTGGGGCTGGGGCCAAGACAGGCAGGGCTAAGGACACAGGAGTTCTTTTATAGCTAGATGAAGAGGCCTCACTAACACTTTAGGTATTCAGTTAAGGTATCAAACAGGCCATGCCATTAAAATGAGGACAAAATTGAAACAGAGCAGCTTTAATAAAGCATAAACCAGTCTTCAAAGATCGGGAGGAAATGACAGCCCAAATAAAACCCAACAGCCTGTAAAGAACACAACATAAGGGCTCCTGGGTGGCTCAGTCACTTAAGGATCTAACTCTTGATCTCAGCTCAGGTCATGATCTCATAGGTTGTGAGCTAGAATCTTCCAGTGGGCTCTGGGCTGGCAGCATGGAGCCTGCTTGGAATTCTCTCTCCATTTGTCTCTCCCCTACCCCACTCATGCTCTCTCTCTCAAAATAAATAAACTTAAGAAAAAAGAAGCAACATAAATCAAACACCCTACAACCTACCATCTATAATATCCAGTGTACACTTAAAAATTTCTCAGAAGTAGGAAAATGTGACACATAATCAAGAGGAAAAAAGCAGCCCATAAAAGCAGACAACATGAAGACATGGGACTTAAAGGAAACCTGAGACATAATTAGTGAAATATACGGAAATCACAGCATAGGAATGGAAATGATTTTTTTATTGAAAAAAAAAAGGACCAAATGGAAATTTTAGAAAAGAAAAGAACACCATCTGACATGAAAAATGTACTGAATGGGCACAACAACAGACTGGAGACCACAAAAAACACAGTGAACTTGAGCATAGCTCAATAGCAATTATCAAATCTGAAGAACAGAGAAACAGGGAGTACAGAAGGATGAACAAAGCCTGGAAACTTATGGAACAATTGTGTAAATGAGCCCTATGAGAAGAGAAGTGAGAGATGGGGGAAAACACACTTGTGGAAATCAACCCAAATTTGGTAAAAAACCATCAAACTTAGATCACCAAGATGCCTGGTGAACCCCAAGCCAGATACAAAGAACATCACAAACTAAGCATATCACAGTCAAACAGCTAAACCAACAAAATGAAACAAAACAAAAAGATAAAGAGAAAATCCTTAAAAACAGCCAGAGAAAATGGATACTTCACATACATAGCAGCAATATGAATGAGGTTGACCTCATCATGGATGATGGATTGTAGAAGAGAAGTGTTATATAAATGAGCCAAAGATAGCTCCTGTGTGTTGGCTCCTATTTTTGTTTCTACAGAGCAGGCTCAGACCGTTTAGCTCAGAAGCCTGCTAGCACCAAACTCAAATTTTTACATATATAGTTGTTTTAAAATATAGCCCGAACAAGCACATTTTTATCCATTTAGCCCCTATTGCTTAGCATACCCCTATGAAACTGCACTCATCATTTGCTAACTATAAATAAGACTGTGGCTACAAGGACCCCAAGCTACTGCTGCTCTTTGGAGGACTCAGATCAGAGACTCTCCATTATGCTGCCGAGTGACACCACCCAACCAAAAACACCCCCTCTCCAATACCTTCTCTGCCAGGAGTTCCCCTGTGCCTCTCTCCTGGATGGTGGCCTTGCACACAAATCTGCTGAAGGGTCAATAAAGCTTGTGCATGCTACTTCTACCTTGTGGTCATGTCTACTTCCTTAGTTAGCCCTCTAATTCCCTGAACTCCTTCTAACAGGGTAAAAACATCTTTAAAGTGCACACACACACCACTAGCAACCAAAATGTTTATATCTGCTGAAGATATATTTTAGGAACAATGAGGAAATAAAGATATTTTCAGATAACTGGAAGTGGAGAGAATTCTTTGCTAGCATGCACACCCACACCCCCAGAAATAGTCAGTAAAGTTCTTAATATGGAAGGTAACTGATATTAGAGGGAAAATCAGATTTACAGGGAAGATTTGAAGAGCATCAGAAATGGTAAATAGGGGGCACCTGGGTGGCTCAGTCGGTTAAGTGTCTGACCTTGGCTCAGGTCATGATCTCACAGGTCGTGAGTTCAAGCCTTGCATCGAGCTCTCTGCTCTCAGTGCAGATCCTACATCAGATCCTCTGTCGCACCCTCTCTCTCTACCCTTCCCCACTCATTTTCTCCTTCTCTCTCTCTTAAAAATAAAAATAAATAAAAAAATTTTATAAAAAGAAAAGGTAAATATGTGGGTAAATACAAAAACCTATCTTATCTTTTGTATTTAACACATAACTGATTACGAAAAATCAGGAATCATACTACATTATTGGGTTAAAATGTACATATAATAAAATATATGACAAAGTTGCAGAGTAGAGAAGGGCATATAAATTGAATAAAATAAAAACAAGCAACTAAATATACAATGTTCAAGGTGAAAGTGTTTCAGACCAAGTAATTATAAAACTAAAATGGATATAAACTAAACCAACTATGTAGTGTGCCCGTAATACCACATACCAAAACAATAACAGGATCGTGTAAAGGTCCATCTGTGTGAAGAGTTTCAATGTCATCTTCAATGTTATAATCCCATTCCACACCAAGATCAATGAAGGTCCGTGACTTGGCTTCCTCCCCTTTGCCATTCAGAATATAGTGGCCTGTAGCCTGGTTCTTAATAGCTAAATGAAGAAAAATGAGTAACCAGCATACATTTTATTTTATCATATTATAGTTTTGATGATCCATTGCAAGTTTATCCCCTTCTAAGCTTCAAAGCAATCAAAATGAGTGTCAGTTCTGATATGATTCCCATTCCATTTATTAGGCACTCAAAATCCTCAAGAAGCACTCCCTAACTAGTCAAAAACAATGCCAAAATGGTTAAATGGGAGATAAAAGTGAGCAAATATTCCTAGTTGAAAACACTGTCAAAAAGGTTAATGGTTCCTAACCCACTTCTCCTATAGATTTTCTTAGAAAGCTGGGAATATCTTGAAAATCATGGATACTTCTATAATAACTCACATAAATCATTTATGCTAGGACAGCATATAACAGAACAGCTTCTGTGTATCTTTTTCAAGTTAGTAAAAATATTTATAGGTATCCAGCACAGTTGAACTAATTTTTAGGTAAACAAACAATTAGCTCTCATGTTTATGAAATTCCAAGGCCATATTCCTACTTATATGGCTAGAAAAAAGCTGTTTATTGATAGAATTCTTAGTGCATTACAGATCTACTATATATTATTTAAAAATGCTTTCTCTAAGAAAGCATTAGATAAAAAATAGCAAATGGGATTCTAAAGTTTAGAGGTATTCATCAGCATATAATGATAAGTTAGAAAATAAAAGTTCATGTTACTACCATCTATTGAAAATGTGTAGAAAACATGAGCAATTTTAGTTAAATACATTTGCCCCACTTAGCTTCTTAAAACAACTCCAATGTTTCCAAGGATAATAATCTGAATTCTAGGATGAAAAATAAAGAATTTGAATTATTGAAAAAAGAATGATGGCTGACTGCTAGACCGTTAAGGAATCTAGCAGTGAATATAATTTAAATACTTAAAAAATTCTATGAAACACCATAAAATAATTCATTTTTTTAAGTCACCCATTTGAAAAAAAAAAAAGCAATGTGAGACAATTTTTCATGGATTGACAGATGATGACTGAGTTCAGAGAGCCTCCTAGCGCTTTAATAGGTCAGGGAACATGTGGAAGTTAGGTTTACATTTACACCTACACTTTGAAGACACACCCCTTTCAAATGCCATTTTTACATGATCCTCTCATAAAGGAGGAAAAGAATCTTCTTTTGGAAATTATAAACAGCCATGCAAATGGATCTGCATGTGCCAGTCAGAAACTGGACACATAACAGATACCAGGAAAGCTTACTAGACTAGTAAAATTCACATATGGTTGCTTTTCAGTAAAAGAACTTAAAATACAATAAAAGTAAGGAGAGGCATAGAGTATGGCATCAACCAAAATATCAGAACTAATTTGTCAACATAAATATGGCAAATTTTTCTGATATTCTTCCTTAATTTAATGCATTTTATAAACATACTTATTTTTCTCATCCCCTAATACAGAGAAGTGCATTAAATACTTGTTAAATAACTTTTTTCTCTACATAAATAATACACCAACTCGGGTTTCACCCAAAATTAAAGCTCTGTTTTTGAACATTTCTTGTTTTAAAGAAGAATAGTGGGGAGGAATGACCAACTAAAACCACATAGTGATGTTTTTTTTGTTTTTTTGTCTTGTTTTTTTTTTCACATAGTAATGTTTTTGTAATTCTGACTCTTGCATATCTACGTATACATACACATATATGTATACATCCACACGCATCTACACACATCTCCCTCTCTCATATATATATATATATATATATATATATATATATATATGATTTCTTTGACAGTTCTCTAAGTTCATGCTAAAGCAAAGCCAGCAGACAGGAACACTTACCAAGAATATGAGGAGAAGCCTCGTCTTCTTGGATTAACACATGTCTAGCACCCGGGGGTATATCAAACATCTTAAGGTACCCTTTGCATGTGTAGTAAATATCGGAGAAAGCCAAGAAGAAAACAAAAGCAACAACCATGGTTAGCCGAGCATGAAATTCTTAACTGCTCCTGCACGCAGAAGAGGGCATCCATAAGCTGACAGAAGCAGTTTCAGAAACTAACTTCAAAGCATTGGTAGTTTTTGTGATAACGGGCATGAGATTAAAGGAAACTTTTTTTTTTTAATGTAGGGGGGCAATTAATCTTCTTTACAACCTATTAGTCATTTATCTTGTACTGGACTATGAATTGTGTCAACAGCAATTCAGGTAAATGCTACACTTTCCTGGGTCCTTCTATGTGAGTTTAGGGCTTGCGGTTGTTGCTGTTGACTTATGTATGTATGTATGCATGTATGTATGTATGTATGTACTTATTTATTTATTTTTATTTGAGTATAGTTGACACACAATGTTACATTAGTTTCAGGTGTACAACACACTGATTTATCAAGTTCATATATTACATTATTTTAGTTTTATTTTCTAAACCACCCTGTTTAAAGGGGGCCAATTTTTAGTGTACTTAGTGGGTAACCTTCTTGAGATATTTTATCTGTCTATATATTATTTTTAAAGCCTAAGGGCAAGTGTAGATAGCTAAACTTCTAATTTATGAAGTATCTTCATATTTAAAAGGCTGCTTTATTCTAATGAAATTTCAGAAGAAAGGGGTGCCTCGGTGGCTCAGGTGGTTGAGTGTCCACTCTTGGTTTCAGCTCAGCTCACGATCCCAGGGTCATGGGATCAAGTCCCATATCGGTCTATGCACAGACAGCACAGAGGCTGCTTAGAATTCTCTCTCTCTCCCTTTGCCCCTTTCCCCAACTCCTACGTGCGCTCTCTCTCTAAAATAATTTTTAAAAAGCTACTCACTGATGAAGTGAGTAGCTTTCATTTTTCTTGTAATCAGTCATTAATTTTAAAACCTTAAACAAGTTTTATCATGGGAAAGTTTTAAAATATATATTTTAGATTTAACCAAACAATCTGGTTGGACCAAACAATCTGGTTGGAAAATGTCTGCAAGTTAGATCACACATCGCCTTTATAAGGACCTTAAACTCAATCTTCTACTCCAGAAATCATGAAATCAATAGGCTTAATGGATTGCCTTGAGTTATAAAATCATACATCAATCCTATTATCGTCAATGTCATATAAAACAAATCTTAGTATTATCACATGTCCTAAAAATTATCTTAAGGTCACTTAGAGTTAAGATCTTAACAGTAAATTAACAATAGGACAAATAGAAATGAAGATGTTACATCTCATTTCCATCAAACAAATAAATATACAGAGATTATGCAACTAACACCTTATATTATGAAACATCCAATTCATATACTACAGGATGAGCCTGACAGAAATTCAGTTATAAATTGTGTATTTGTACAATCACGTGTCATCAGGAAGAAATAAGTTTCTCATTTCTATCTGGGCAATAAGTATCTACCTATGGGTAGCTTTACCCAACTTTTTCACACATTGATTACTGTCTTAACTCAATGGCATAGTCATTTTGGGGTTAGAGTTTTCAGTACCTGAACCTGGGTACATTCCAGTCTGTGAACTGTACCATGTTCGTCTGCATATGCAATGGCTAGAAGTAAAGTGCTTAAGATGCCGAGGACAGCAAAACAGCTTGATGCCATTTACGGATGCCCATCTTTCTGCAGTTTGCTGCAACTTACCCAGTACATTTTTAGCTTCCCTTGTTTCAGCAAGAGAAATATTACGAGCTCCTTTGGGTAAACTGAAGGTGCTTCTTGTCTTCCCTTAAATAGAATGTTTTTAATTAGTAAAGTTTCATGTTGACTCAAAGTCTTGTTTCATTGACCGTACTAGAAGCTATATATATTATATTAGGTAAGATATCAAATATGTTCTGTAATTTTATGTGTTGAAGTCAAAATGCATTTATAATAGTTAGCTAATGCCAATACAGTTAGTAGTCAATGAAAGTAGGCCTAAGCGTGAATAAGAAGTGATAGAGATGATTTGAAGTTGAATACTTGCAGATTTCATTTTCCAGCAACTTGAATTCTGTATGGCACCTCTTGCTTAAATGTTTCCCTGTTGAAAAACGTTAATTAGTCTATTGAGTGACTATGACAACATTAGTGCAAAGAAATGGATGTTAGTTTATCTTTGAACAGTTTGAATCTGCATGGCTGATGAAATCTTTTCTTTGCCTCTTCTGACCTTGGTTCGTAGGTTTAGCATAATTTTTGAGGTGCCTGAAAAAAACGCATCACTGCCCCCTCTGCACATAATACAGAATGGACGATGAATGGCAAAACCTTTTTCTTTACATTAGTTCACTCTGGAAATAAAAGAATATGAATGCTTTTACAACAAAAAGAATAATATAACTGCAATAGAGAAAGCAAAATTACTTGACAATAAGATGAAGAAAATTACATGTTACTCCACCAAAACCATAATAAATGTTATGGTTATGGTTTTAACTCTATTTGCCTTATTAAAATAATGTAATCAGCCATAATTGGCAATATTTGGTTTTTAACCATTTAACCATTAAATTAGCACAAAGGAATATAAAAAATATCAGTAATGATGTTACTGATGTTACTTTAGGATACAGTTCACTGAACTCTGCCCCACCTAAATATATCAAAGAGCATAACTGATATGTGTGCACTTGTCTTATGCTGTATAGCTGAGGTATAATGAGATTACAAAGAACTAAGAGAATCATTCCATTTGGAGTAAGACTACCTTTCTAACACTTTCTTGGAATCTAAAAGGGAAAGTCACCACCATAACAATGTGCTCAGAGTAAACAAAATTTCTTATCTTTATTTTTGCTTTGTTTTATTTTGTTTTTATCATTCCATTAGAGACTACCAGTGTGTTTGTGTGTGTGTGTGTGTGTGGGGGGGGGTGATGTAAGGAAAGCTTCTCAAGGGAAGCACTACATCAAATTTATCTTTAAATGCTGAATTCTCAGAAACATTTCCCCATAATGCTTATTGAATAACTGAATATATGCTAGCAACTAAAAAGTTGTTCAGTAATAAATGTTTGTATCCAGATATTTTATGAAAATTCCAGTGAATAATTATAAAACTACTCATAATTTTGCATATTATTTGTACTTTTTTTCCCATCTGCTGAAATTCACTGTATGTCCAAGCCCAGATCACTGACTCCATAATAAACATTAAAGTTCACACGCACAAGCAATTATACCTCAGGTTATTTTTGGTTTTACCTCAATTTTGTGTAATATAAAGCTTTTTAAAAAATGTTTATTTATTTTTAAGAGAGAGACAGAGACAGAGACAGAGACAGAGACAGAGACAGAGAATGAGTGGGGGAGGGGCAGAAGGCGAGGGAGACAAAGAACCTGAAGCAGGCTCCAGGCTCCGAGCTGTCAGCACAAAGCCCAATGCAGGGCTCGAACTCATGAACTGTGAAATCATGACCTGAGCCGAAGTCACATGCTTACCTAACTGAGCCACCCAAGCACCCTTGTAATATAAAATATTTCAAATTATGTAAAATATGGACTCCAGATTCATAGTTATAAATAGGATAAACTCATTCACTTTTAAAATAAAAGCAGCAAAACTAATGCAATATTTTAAAAGTTGTATTTAGAATTGTGTGTGTATGTGCTGTTATTAACTTCTGATAAACAATTTATATGTACAAAAAATTCAAAATAAGCATCCATTCTAGGGGTGCCTGGGTGGCTCAGTTGGTTGAGCATCCAACTCATGATTTCAGCTCAAGTCCTATCCCAGGTTCATGGGATAGAGACCTGTGCTGGGTCCCACACTGGGCTCTGAGCTGAGAGTGGAACCTGCTTAAGATTCTCTCTCTCTCTCTCTCTCTCTCTCTCTCTGCCCCACTTCCCCATTATGCTCTCTTTCTCTCTCAAAAAATAAAAGGCATCAAGTCTAACAATTAGGTCTTATAAAAAACATAAAATAAGATTTAATAGGCAATTTTCATCATGGATGGTATGGAGTATAAATTCAATCCCAAGTAGTTTTTTTCTTTATTACTAGTTCCTTGAAACTTAATATGAATAAAAATAAATCAGCAGCAAATGTTTTATTATATTTATAGGGAAATGCTACATTCCTAAAACAAGTCTCAAAAAGTACAAATCCTAGAGAAGGATACTAAATTCATGAGAAACCTCATCTTACCAAGTTTCCTGGGAGTTCTGGTAAAGGTCCCCTTTACGGTTCGACAGTGGGAATTATCTCCTCCACAGACGCCACACTTATCCTCAACCTTGTTAGAACCGATTTCTTTATCACAGCCCACTTTCTGGAAGGAGAAGATGTTAAGTGTGGGTAATTTTAAAGTGCCAAGTGAAGGTTAGCATCCTAGACAATGATGAGCCATTTGTTTCACTGTGACTCCACAGTGAGGCAGTCTACACCAAGCCTTCACCCCAGCTCTGGTTTCTAATGTCTCAATCTTTCGAAGAACTACTATGAAGTCAAATGACTTGCACTGTAGGTTAAATGCTACTCTAGGATAAACTCCTCAGTCTAATGAAATATTTACCCCATTATACATAGTCATGAGCATCAAACATTTATGAAGCAGATATGATAGTTGGTGCTGAGCAGACCAAAAGTAAAGATGGCGTCTATTTCCCTTGTTGCTTTCCTATTTGGAAAGATGAATAGTAGAACAGTGAGCTGTGCATTAGCATAAGCTTTATAAGCTGTTTAGGGATGTGAAACAAAACTTTACAAAGTGCTGGAGATTTTTATAGGGTCCTATAGAAAGGCATTTCAAGAATGCAGAGGGATTAAAATAGAGCCATGGAAGTAGGAAAGTAGGTTCAGAGAGCAATACTTAAGCCATATTTAAGCCAATGGAAGGTTAGTGCTATAGGATAGGGGAAGAATAGGGAATGGTTTGCAAAGCACAGGCTATAAAAGGCCTCGAATATCAGGTAGAGTTTACTTTTACACATGAACTGAACAGGGAGCCACTGAAGGTTCCAAATTGGGGCAGAATCCTTCATGTAAATCAGTGTAGGGTTATGTTACATGACACGCTGCTGCAGCCATAAATTTGGAAGGAAAATGGGCAGAGAAAATGATGACCACAAGATTGATGTACCAGATAATGTGGGAAGTGAGAGACAGATAAAACTCAGATTCTACTTTTGGGAAAATTTTATTTGAAATGTAACGCATCTGAATACTTGAGATTCATAAATATATCACTTCAGTTATGCTGAAGTGAAAAAGAGACAAATAGGAGTAATGTGTTCAGTTAAGAAGGACAATTTCTTATTAATTCAACTTGTGAACATGAATAAAAAAGTCAAGTGTGTTTTTTTTAAGAGTCCAAATGGGGCAAAAGCCATTTTTACATCTTCACCACTTTTGTTCTGATGAGGAATTCAGTGTTTAAACTTCAAATCAATTGGAAAGTCAGAGGGAGAATTTCCATTATTTTTAATATAAAAGATAAAATACATTTAGCAGTGTAATTTTAAAAAAGGCTCTGTATCATAAAAGTAGAGGCCTACCAGTTTCAAAGCAAAGGCATCATTCATTCCCAAGTTGCTGTATTCCCAACCTAGATACATCGGAATAACTTAGAAAAGGCGTCTGGCTGGAAATTCGGAAAAGTACATTTAAATCGATTCTGCCAATGGCCAAACTTTGGTTTGAAAAGTCACATTTCTCGCACATTTAGTTTAGGCCTCCTCAACTAGTCCTAGATTCTCATTTTAATGTTATTTAACAGATATGAAAGGGTTAAAAATCTTTTGAAAACATGCAGATGAAGGGTGGTAAAAGTAGAATTGCACAGTAGCAGAGGAAGCTTCTGGGGAAGCGACTGTAACTCACCACACACTCCCCTCGCACACATATGCTGTAGGGGTCTTTGTATGAACAGTGTGTTCCATCGTGAACCAGCTGCTTCATGTACACGACATCTCCAGTCTCTCTGGATTGACAGTAAAGGTGGCATCTTTTCTTGGCTGTGCAAGATGGAAGATTAAATCAGCTATTTCTATGAAATGACATATTTGAACACTACAGTTACTTTATTTTTAAAATACGGAGTTTCAACATGGTTTCCTGAAAAAAAAATATTGTATACATAAATAAAACAGAGTAGCAGAAAAGGATGCATATTTGGCATACAACTAAACTAAACTGTGAAACCTTTTTAAGTTTTATCTTATTCATTTTGAGAGAGAGACACACACATACACACAGAGAGCATGAGAGAGAGAAAGTGCATAAGCATGAGTGGAGGAGGTGCAGAGAGAGAGGGAGAAAGGGAATCCCAGTGCACTGTCAGCGCAGAGCCCAATGCAGGGCCTGAATCTCCCGAACTGCAGGATCATGACCTGAGCTGAAATCAAGAGTCTGATGCTCAACAGACTGAACCACCCAGGCGCCCCTAAACTGTGAAACTTTTGAGAATGAAAAGTCAGCATGTTAATAATTACATAGGAATAGTTGGACTGTCCCAGGCAAACATGGTTGTAACAACAACCCTTGATTTTACCACAGCTCTTCAACGAACTTTAATTCAGAGGGAGGCATTTTAGTTTTATTGACACTTTGAGAACTAAAAGGGTTTCTCTTCTGTTTGACCCAATGACCTAGTATGGTTTACACCTCCTGTAGGATCTCATTAATTAATTTTAATACAATTTATGTGATTCACTTCATCAAAATAGATTAAAAAAATAATGCATCTTCTTAATGTATTGCAACTCTGAATTCCTATGTGGATGCGTCTTTTCCATAAAACAGCTTTTAAACTGAACTTGGCAGTATATCATATCACATGGTAATCATGTAACTATTTTTCTTTTATCCGTCCAAATATGAAGTATGGCAAGACGTTCCCATCTGAACATATTTAACCAAAAATTCATGGGTAAGAAGTAAACATTAAAAGGGAATTTTTTAAAATTTATTTAAGTTTATATATTTATTCTGAGGGAGAAAGAGAGAGAGAGAGAACACAAGCAGGGGAGGGGCAGAAAGAGAGAGGGAGAGAGAGTCCCAAGCAGGCTTCAAGCTATCAGTAGAGCCCAATGCAGGGCTCGATCCCACCACTGGGAGTTCATGACCTGAGTCAACATCAAGAGTCAGACAGTTAACTGCCTGAGCCACCCAGGCAACATGAAAGGGAATTTCTAAGTGTATTTTCTCATAACCAGTGTACAGTACAAAGTAAAATGCTATAACATATCTTTTGTTCTTAAATAATGAACTTTTTCTTATTTTTCACTCAGTTGTAAAAGGACTGTATTCTTTTCCAGTTATTCAGAAAGGCAAGATCACACCAGTCCAGAGCATTGCCTAGTAGAGGGACGTCACTCAAAGGAGGAGACTCAAGGTGTCTCCTACGTGTTGCTTTCCACTGTGGTTTCTTCAGTAGCCATGGTGGGAAAGCTCTTGGCCAAGAACTAGCCCACGATTCTCACCTCTCTAGAGGAAGCCTTGTTCTTCAAAACCCAGCAGGATTTACCCCTATAAACCCCAAGTTTTCTAAGTTAACAACTAGGGGCCAAGAGTCCAAGAAATTGGTGTGGACAAGGCTTAACCTCTGAAGTCCTTGTCCACACAGTGGGAAAGAGAGTGAGCATCTACTCCACTCACGGTCAGGATGTTCGTAGGGCAGCCAGTGGTGCTTGGTGGTGCGGTATTCAAAGTGGGAGTTCCGCTGTTGGCACTGCTGTCCTCTGAAGTCCTCGAAGTGCTTCTGGCACTCTTCTGTATTACAAAGCTGGTACTCGAAGTTAACACCGGGACAGTCCTGACCGCCATTGATTGGCCTGCAGAGAAGACAGCAGAAAAGGCGCTTTGGCTCTGCTCCAGCAGTGGAAGCTCGCAGACGCAGTGACTGAAGGCAGGAAGCCAGAGCTTCAGAGCCGCAAGCAAAAAGCGAATGAACTCCTACTTCATTATTTCAATCCTTTCCGGAAAGTGCCAACCTTTCCCAGTGTGTGTGTCAGGTGCAGGGTGGGAAGGTGGGGACCAAACACTTGACTTAAATCAGCTTTTCAAAGAGTCTGTTTGGAACGTATGGTCAAAGTATATAAAGAATGTAGAAACATATATATACGTATTGTCTGAGGAAAATTATATTTTCTACCATGCATAAAACACATAGATATAACCCAAAGAAATCTGATCATAGCTCCAGGCCTTCATTTGCTCATATGCAAAATGCAAAAAATAATCCCATCTTCCATATGGGAAAATGGAGACAACTGAGTATGTCCACATATTTAATATACTTAGAACGGAGCATGGCTCACAGTGAACCTTAGCTGTTCTTACAATTTTTATTGCTTTGGTGACTTCCACTAAAACTACCACCATGTCTTCCTGTAAAGACAGGTATGCCACATTTGATATTCTTTATAAAATGGTAAACCCTAGACCAGAAAGAAAGTCCTAAGGTTTTGCTAAGCATGCAAGGATTCAATATATTTAGTATGAGGGAGCTAATGGATAGCTGTTTCCCCAACAGTTCCTTGGTGTTCTTTCATGGTCTTTCTGTTACCCTGTTCAGATGTGTGGTTCTCCTAACCGCAGAGTGAGTGAGGGCCTGCCTGGAGATACTCCCCATACCAACATGCTTCCTGCGACAGCCATGGCCCTCACAGCCTCAGTGCCCAGGTTTTCTCTGCCTCGCTCCTGAAGATTTCTAAATAGCAACTACCTCAAAATTCTCTAATCTTCACTGGAGCCTCTGATCTTCGCTATTGACTACTCTTCACAAGACTGATGAATGGAGATTTGCTCAAAATAGGCACTTAAACACTTGGTTTTCATGTTGTGTATTGAAACACAACAATATTGAACAATACTGAAGCGTTTTCTGGTCTAGCCAAAAACAACTGGAATTAGGACAGTTATACTCACGTGGGATTATTACACTGGCGTGTTCTGAAACGGACACCAGTTCCGCACGTCCGGGAACAGGAGCCAAATTTGGTCCATGATCCCCAATTGCCATCTTGTTTTTGTTGATTGGCATTCTTCCACATGCAATGACCCTTATAGCACCACTTAGGAAAATGACAAAAGGCAATTATGGAAATTATGCATAGGCTAAAACTGGAGTTGTTTCAACAAGGGCCATCAATTAAAGGCCTTCATTTCTTCCCTCCCACCCCAGGTAAAAATGCATTTTAAAAATAACCCAGTGCAATTATAGCAATAAGATGCCCTATACAGGATAATTTAGACTTGCATTTAGGTATAAAATGAAAAAATAACAATCATTCAGACAAGTTTTTAAATGATACATTTACAGTGAGTATCAAACATAACCAATAAGAATGATCTGACGACCTAACTTGCATAGTGGGTACTACTCTACCCTTCACCCCTCATTAGCTATAATATCAGGGTTTTTAAGGGTAATATGCTCCTTTGTACAATAATAACAGAGAAATATATGCCTTAACTTTGGAATTAATTAACATTTCTAAAGCATATATAGTATCCAAAGCACTTAAATATGTTTCAAAATTTTCATTCACAATGATTCTGAGATAGGTCATTTATGTTATCTTTACATTTTAGATGAGAAATATGGGGGCCCAGAAAGGATCAGGAGGAGGATAAGACCATCTGACCTAGAAGTAATTAAGTGGGACACTGAACCTTGATAGAGGTACCTAGCTTACAGTACCCAACACAGCAGGTGCTCAACCATTATTCTTTACCCATTCAACATTTAAAATTTTTTTAAATATTTTATTTATTTTTGAGAGAGAGAGAAAGAGAGACAGCATGAGTAGGGAAGGGTCAGAGAGAGAGGGAGACACAGACTCCGAAGACAGGCTCCAGGTTCTGAGCTAGCTGTCAGCACAGAGCCTGATGCAGGGCTCAAACCCATGAACCGTGAGATCATGACCTGAGCCAAAGCTGGATGCTCAGCTGACTGAGCCACCCAGGTGCCCCTCCCATTCAACATTTTGACTCACTTTTTTATCCCATATACAATAAAAATACCTCTTAAAACTCAAATTAGGTAAATTTAAATATAACACAAATATATTTAGAGAAGTTGGATGTTTAGGGTTGATGTACACGATATATTTTTCACAAAGCAAAAATGAATCAACTCATTGTTGCTCTTGTTTTTTTAGTCAAAAGTCTGTAACACTGAGTTTTTCTAAAGCAACACACTGCATGTAATGTGTTTAGTGTAGTACCTAAGTTTAAACACCAATAATGGCAGATATTATTATTATTGTAATACCCATAGCAAATACAGTTCATATATATTTGAAATAGAGCTTACAGGGCTTTAAAGGAACTAAAAGCTATGTAAATCTTCCTTGCCAGCTTTTGGTCCTGTCTACAATATCTTATTTCCAAACTAGTCAAGGCTCTTCAATTTGAGTTCTTAACATGTCTTTGTTTTGGGTTTGGTGATCTTTCCCCTTATGAGTTGTGTAGCTTGGCCCCGGGCCAGTTTCTGAGCATTCAATCTTGACTACACAATGTGAGATTTAAAACGTCTGGGCATCTTTCCCCAAGGAACAAGGCCAAATCTTCTGTATAAATTCACATGACTTTACTTCTGGACAACTTTCACAAGGAGTGGGATGCCAGCAAGCAAATTAAATCCCATTAGCAGGGGCCCAGATATTCTGCTGAGCTGCTGTTTCCTATTCTATCAGTAGTGGCTGAAGAGTGGTTTCAGAGATGTTGGGTCCTAATCCCTGAAATTCGTAAATGTTACCTTATTTGGTAAATGGTCTTTGCAGATGTGATTTGGTTAAGGATTCTGAGATGGAGAGATTATCCTGGGTTATCCAGTTGGGCCCTAAATGCCAGCACAGCACGTGTAAGACAGCCCAGTACATTATAAGACAGGGGCAGAAGGAAATTTGCACACAGAAGAGAAGGAGATGATGTGGCCATGGAAGCAGAGACTGAAATGGTGCAGCCACAATTCAAGGAATGCAGGTGGCCACCAGAAGCTGGAAGACGCAAGAACAGATCCTCCCCTACAGCCTCTGGGGAGAGTACGGTCCTGTCCACACATTGATTTTCACCCAATGAAACGGATTTTGGACTTCTGGCTTCTAGAACTATGAGAGAATAACATTTCTGTGTTTTAAGCACCCATTTAGGGGTGATTTGTTATAACAGCCCTAGGAAACAATGTTTGTACATGACCATAATGAAACCCCATACACCATGGCTTGCACAAAAATGACTACAGCCATGGTCATAATTTTCTAGGTTTCTAAAGATGATTATTATGAAACATATCTAAAATCTTTATTGTATAAATAGATATACTCACTTTTCCAGCAGCACATTCAGTCCCATCAAGTGGGGGTCCCTTTTTTGTCTTACAAAAGTAGGGATTATCAGGATGGCTACACCACAGCTGTTTACACGGGTCAAATGTTCGGAACTGGAAGAGAAAGAATCAAGATCTCAATGAACGACAGATGTCATGTCATACCAATACATGTCCAACGATATCTTCTATACAGTTTCATGTCATGTTTCTTGGGTGTTTTCATTTCAAATTAATAGTCATATTTGTGGTATGTTAAGAAAAAAATACTACCTATGAATTCCAAAGAAAGAATACTTTTACTCTGCTTTTCCAAAATATTAATGATAAACAATGATTTGTCCGGGATTCTCTGGGTCACTTTAACATTTCTGCATACTATTTTTTTATGGTTTTCAAATAGACAACATTGGAACTTTAAAGAATTTGTAAACATTATGGTCATTTTAAATATGAAAACTTATTATGATGGTTTTGTAGCTCTCAAGCTATCAAAATGGCTTCTCCTTATCCCTGTAGGTATGAACGAGTCAGGTATAAATAATAAAAATACCCATCGTAATGAGATAACTAAAAGCAGAAAATATCTGTAAGGCTTGATATGTGAGATGAAGTGTTCTGGGTGTTACAAAATACCGCAATATATTCATATAGTTTATCATGTACTTTCTAAATATTTAATCCTGAAAACAATCCACAGCTGAGAATATAAGTTACAAGGTAAGGTGGTAGTTATAGTTAGAAGTGAAGAAGTAGCAGTCAGACTAGAATCTTAGTATACTTATTCCTGAGATGTTTTTTATTTTCCTAAAACACAGCATTACAATATCCAAATATATGTATATGTACACCCATTTGTGTGTGCTCTTTACTTGTCTGATCTCTTTGTAACTGGAAACACCTTACCGTTCTCTAGATTAAAAAAAAAATCAAATACCAGTTTATCCACATACTCATCGCTTATACCCCTAATTACCCACATACAGCCTTACAGTCATAGATTTTTTTTTTTTTTAATTAGCCCTCATTTTGGACCTGGGGTTTTATTTTGTTCTAATTCCTATTATTTAATGCAGAAATTGCACTTTTCCATGATATTGAGCCAAACTTTAGAATTTTCAGGTCTAAAGCATTAATGTAGGTAATAAGGGCTGACGATGTGCAACGTATAGACAGACCAAATGACTGTAGATATCTCTATATGTAAGATTTCAAACAGAAGTTCAACTTCTTTTCAGGGCCATGAAATATTTATTTTTCTTGCTCTAACACATAAAGCTTGCTCCAACATATAAAAAACCCTTTCTTTCTCCTCCCCACCTTTTTTTAATAAACTACTAAAACTTATTGTAGAAATTTAGTGAAACATATCACTAATCTGCATAGCTACATGGAACACTGACTTTACTGGATTCCACTTACTAGATGCTTGCATTATGCTAAGGACTTTGATTATACTATCAAGTTTAATCCTCATGAGAAATTCCACGAGATAAGTACTATCATTATCCACATTTTACACCTGAGGAAACTAAGTCAGAGAGAATGAATAAAGCTCTCAAAATTAAACATCTAGTAAGTGTGAGATCCAGATTCTGACAACCCACCTAGTCTCAGTATGAAACACATGGTCTTGACCTTCATACTATACCATATGACCGCCATACAAGAATACACCAGCACAACTCTTCCCTATGGTCAGAGCGATATGAAATTTTGGCCAACAAACTAATGAAAAGCAAACTATCAAAGGTTTAGAAGTGATTTCTGAAAGTCACAAAAACAAAAGGAGAAATAGATCATAAGGTTTTATGGCCTGACAATCTTAGTTTCAATGTCTGACTCCCCTATTGACCAGATGTGTGATTTAAGCAAATTGCTTAATCTAACTCTTGGCTTTTTCATCTGTAAAATAAAACTGGTTCCCAGTTCCTAGGCTCCCATCTAGTCTGTCACAAGGATTAAATAAGATAATAATCCGAAGCACTTAGCTTCAGGAGGTAGTGACACAGCAAACACAAAACCATTGATAGATAACCTTATACTTGACCAGTGAGTCTGTAAAGCTCACCAAACAGGAGCTAGGGAAATAGATTTCAAAATGCAAAATCTCAATGGATTTTGAGTAACATACCGCAGTGCACATTTTATAACCAACCCCAAAGTCAAAACGACATTGTTCATCCATAGAGTAATTGATTCCAGGAAGTTCTGGGAGTTTGGGCCAATCATGTTCAAAAGGGTCATCGAGGAGACAGTCATAGGAACTGTAGAAAGGAAAATATTTCAAGTAGTAAAGTGTTCACTTCTTTTTTTTAATCACATCCTAATGAAAATGTATTCTTATGTTACATACTCTGGAATTCCATCACATCATACAGCAAGATCACAAAGGCATACCTTTTAAGGTTTTAAGTTCCATTTAGAAAAAGACCCATCATCCTTATTCACCCCAGAAACAATAACCCAAGCATGACTCAGGAAGACAGTAGAATTTTGATAGCCTTATTCATGTCCCCTGCTGAGCCCCCACATGGTGCCATGGTGCAGAGCCTGGCACTGGTGCTACAAGGTACGTGCAACACACTATGCAGGCATCACATGACCATCCTCTCCTTGTCCTCAACTCAAGTCTGACCATAAGTCAAAGATGCCATAAGGAATTTACTAAAAGGAAACCACAGTTAAAAATTCACTTAAATTCTAGGCTTACAGTTTAAAATAGTATGATTACATTATGGCATCACTGTGCCAAAAGCTCTGAGTCATAAGAAAATGTTTATTATGAGCAATAGCTTTCATTCACTGGGAGTTCGGTTATGATCAAGGTCCTGAAAGTCAGCTTCCTGTCTGTGTTATGCTATGACATGAATGCTCTCTCATGACATGCAGAAGGGGACATACTGGATGTATCTCTTCAGTTCTTGGCCGCTGCACCGGGACCAGTGGTAACGATGAAAGGCTGCCTGCACCAAAGGGGCCATGACACTCCCCATGGCGGTCTCATCACCACACCTGTTGCCTTGTCCGTCATGCTCCATTCCCAGCCTAGAACAAAAGGGAGACCTCCCTGGTAAGAATCAGAGGGGCCATGGGTTTTGCTTGACTTCCCTCTTGAAAATCAATTGAGGGAAATATGCATTTTATAAATTAACGTGGGTTTCGTGGAAAAGTCACAGAAACTGTGAAAGAGAACCATCTGAAAGAAATGTCTCTTTATTCTATAGTTATGAAAAGCACAGGCGTGTCTCTGCAAGCCAGAGCCACTTACTTAGTTTCAGTACATGACCTCTTCCCTGTTTTCAGCTCCGCACACTTGGCAAGGAACGAGAGTTGCATGCTGGCATGTACTCAGCCCAAAGTGCGAACAATACTGAGAGAAGCAGGAAAGAAAAGACTTTTTTTTTTGCTTTATAGCTGTCAACAGTGACTTACACATGGCCAGTCTCATGGGCTACTACAAAAGCAGATGAAAAACCATCCTCATGATTCAGGGTACAACTTCTCACTGGATGACACATGCCGGTGACTGGAGCATATCCTGTAGAGAATAACAATTACTTTTATTTTCATTTTATGAGAAAGCCCATTAAGCACTACTACTGGACCTTTGCCTAGAAAAAAAAAAGGAAAGCTTTTCAGGAAACAGAGGCAGTATTATTTCACTGCTAGCATTGTGCCACATTCTCTTGGGAAAGCCACACACAGGTAATGGTCTCTAAAAAGATTCATTGGGTCTGTGTTTTCTTCTTTCCTAAGGGAAGGAACTGCCTGGGGTTACTATTCTGTTCCGCCCACCAACAAAGCCCTGTCTTTCTGTTTTAGTGAATGGTCCTTCCCATGATGGTACTGATGAAGGGAGCCAGAAATTCCATCAACGTTGAAAAGAAACTCATCAGTCTACTTTTTTCCAAAGTCTACATCAGAATTTATTAGATAAATGTAAGCTGACTTTGGAAGAAGGTTCTTTGGCAGCAATCATTTCTCATGGCATCTCCGTTCCCTTTCCAAAGAGTTAGTGGAAATCACACTGCATTTTATAGCGTCCCCTCCATGCCCTGAACGCACAATCATTTATTTTAAAGGCAAGTATAATTTATTACAGCATTTAAGTGGCATTTAACATTGTGAATTCCACAGAAGTCACTGGAAGCAATAGAAAGAAAGTGTATGCTTGGCTGATGCATGGTGGAAAGTGATGGTAGGGATGGAACATTTGAACAGATTCTTTGATTTAGGATTATTTTTGAAAAGTCATGCCCTTAAGTTTTTCTTCTGCATATTAATAGAAATACCTTGCATTCCAGCAGGTCCAAAGTCTTGCCTGGTTAAGAAAATTGCATGATCATGGTGTTCAGAGTGGTTGGGATCAGATTTTTGTTGTTGGCAAGCCCAGCGACACACATTCTCCAAGCTTCTGGATGGGTTTCCCCTTTCTATGAGGCTGATGGACTAAGAGGAAACAGTGGGTTGATGAAGTGCACAACACTTTCTCAAAGGCTACCTTTCATAACTTTCTCTGAAATCAACATTTGGGAGTGCAATATAAGGATGTTCAATACTACTATTTGGGGCTTATGTAGATCTCTTCTATTTGGGAATTCTAAATATCCATGAAGAATATCTTTATGATGATTAGTGTTACCTGTGTGAAACATGACTGACACATTTATGGGAACATATAATGGTGACATTTGCTATTATGGGGCAACTCAATATTAATCATTGGGCTAAGAATTCTAGTGGTCCATTACCTAATTCAGCTCAAATTTCTTAGTTTTATAGATGTTACGAACAAAAAGAAAAAAGGGAAAATATTCTAGCATAAGAGTTTTATCCAAAGCTGTTTAAGTAAAAGGTCTTTCATTAAAATTTGTATTTTTATATTTATTGATCCACAACTGATCAACATATGTAAGGGATGTAGGTTCTTCAAGGAGTTGGCAAAGTGGGTCAAACCTTCATTTTGGGAAATGGTCAAATTATATAAACCTTACCACTGAAAAAAGCAAATGCACTTTTCTTAACCTCACAGCAATGAAGAGGGATGTACTCTTATCTTGTGGTTCCAAGAGATAGACTGACATTGCTTGGAATATTGCTACTACCATATTATGATCAGGAGTTAAAAGTTCAGAAGGAAAAGGGCCTATCTTTCAAGAACCAAGTATCCATACTTCCCAGAGTATCTGATGAAATAAGAAATTGAATTTGGAACCCAAATTAGTCTCTACTTGGATGACAGGCTAAGAGTTTTGCTACATTTCAGCAAATTTTATTATCCATGTTTACATTCTGAATAAAATTAGTTTGGTTTATTATATGCTGATCACATACTTCTCCAAACAAATCCTATAACAACCAATCGAAGACTGTTAACATTTCCAGCTGGAGTTGACTTGTAGTCAGTGTTAGTGATACAAAGTAGGTCAGGTTTATGGAATAAAGTAAAGATTAGGGACACCCTCTCATCAGAAAATGATAAGTGGGTGTTAAATACATAATGAAATGCAAACACATGGATTTTTCCTGTTTGCCAACTGCATATTTTCATTAGTACTTCATAATCAGGAGGATTAAGTATGGGAAGGGGCATGTAATTTTAAACATCAAGAAAAGTGCCAATTTAGTCACTTTCTCAAGGGGAGAAACTATGGCTGTCCACTTCATTATTTCCAAGGACAAGGACACATCTAGTGCCATTTGAAAGCCAGCTGAAATTAGTTACATTACATGAAATTCCTACCACATACATTTTGATCTAATTTTTTGTTTGCAAAAGGATTAAAACTCTTCTAAATGAATATCCACAGTATGCTTCTGTATACTTCACTTTTCTTAAGTGGAAAATATACATGTAAAATAATTATTTTTAACAAATCATGGAATGGCAAGGATCTTTGCCATTTTTCTTCATTTCAAGGCACCTAGAAAGCACCTAACACTTAGTAAGCACTCAGCATAAATGTTTTGAATGAATAAGTGAATCACAATTTGATGATAACAGTAGACTAAGGAAATTCTCTTTTTTGACAATGGTATACATTTTTTTCACTTATCCAGCCTTACCTAAAGTCAGAATAACTATCCATGAATTCATTAGACAGATGAATAAAGCAAGGGGTATCAGCACATAAATCATTATCTGCTCAAATTGGGAGATGTGCACTCATTGTGGTGGTTTCTCTTCTCAGTCTATGTGAGATATCAGTGCCACATGTTAGCTATAGCTTCAGAAATTTAAGCTTCCGTTTGCTAACCCAGTCCTTAACATTCACAGTTCACATATTTTAGGACATTTTACCTTTGCATAACCCAGCATTATCATGCGCACCAGGACCACGTTCATATGCACTCCAAGGGACTCATCATGGTAAATTTCATTCACCTAGAAACAAAGCAGATAATCGCTAAAAGAAAGGTAACAGAATGATTATGAGGGGCACAACATTTCAGGGATCAGCCATAGAATCATACAGACTGGAGTCACGTAGCTTTTTCTTTTTCTTTTTTTAATTTGGTTTAAGCTGAACTCTGAAATTACTTACCTTTACTTTTAATTTACTGAAATTACTTTACTTTTCTCCGATATGTGAATTACTGATTTAGCAAACCCCACAGTACCATGAACATGGAGACTATGCTTTCAAAGGGCTTCATTAAACTACTATTGTGTTAGAAAGAGTTCAATGTGCTATAATCCACATATAACATTCAATTCATCAAAGGCAATGACAGGTGGGTGGTGATTCTGGCAAGAGTCTACTAGCTGTGTGGAGCCACAGCCATGTAGAGGGAACTGGACAGCAAGCATTTGTCTGGGTCCTCATGTCACCACCACAGGTCCTAATCTGGTTGGGAGAACCCATGGAAATGGAGCTGGTGAGCAGGAGCTGTGACGCCTTATCTGCAGGCCTATGAGTGGGTAGCCTGCAGTGGGGCAGCTGAGACAACAGTTATTTAGGAATTCTACAGTGTGAGAAGTCCTTAGATACTTTAATTACCAAGGTGACTGTATGAGTGCATATTAGATGAATATATCCTTGGGTACAGCTCAGAGAAGCAAAGCTGAATCACTCCATTTTACTTAATTTTTAAAGTCGGGCTGAAATTTCTTGAAGCAATTTGGCATACTTTAAAATCATAACCTCAGCAACCTCAGAAGTCACAGTCCAAGATGGGTTTATACAGATGAGGAAGGTGGAGATGGTAGAGATAACTGATAGGCAAAACCCACAGTCAACTGTTAGCAGATATGAATCTAAAGTGGACCATCATTGTATCTTCTGATTAAGAGACTGCAGACTCAGGGTGAGAAAAAGATTGCTTATTAAGTAGGCAAATATTAGCAGGAATGGGAAAGGTGGAGTTGTCTGACTAGATTACAAAGACTCTTAGCTGTTCCCAGGGACAGGGACTCAGTATTTGTCACAATAACTGAAAGAGGAGTGGAAAACTAACTGCAATTTGACTTGAGATCCAGGAGACCTGGACAGTAAGTGCAGCCAATTGAAAACCCACAGAGAAAAGATAACCATAATCACATAGAGAGAGGCTTTAAAAAGGAATACAACTCAAGAATGATAGGATGTTCTAAAAATAACCCCATAAAACTCATGAATCATAAAACTGCATACTACCACACTGACCAAGAAACAGACCAAGAAATCTCAACTGAAATATTTCAAGAATCTAATGGTGCTGCACACCTTAAAAAAAAAATCAAGGTCTTAAATATAGACTAAAGGCATACTTATAAAATTTGTATGGAACAAAAAAGAGGACAGCTAAGATGGTAAAAAAAAACCTACAGAAACTAGTATATGCTAAAGAAGGCAAAGTATAGTTTGACAAGAAAAGATGTAGAATCCTCTTCCATGGAAAAATGCATTGCCATATACACACATACAGTTTACAAATGCACATACACACATAAAATGCTCAGACCTGATTTAATCCCATTCAAGATAAGCCAAGGTAAAAAAAAAAAAAAATCTGCAATGGGCTCTTGCATAGCACAGGCATGCAGGCTGTTAACCCAGGGGCAAGCGATCCCCTCTGGAGGCCAGGGTGTACCTAAAGTATTGAGTACATTTTATCTATGGTATCTTATAAAAGAGATGTTGACAAACATAAATATATCTAGAGAAGAACAAAAAACAAGAAGCCTAGGAAATGTGTCACATAAAGAATGGAAGACGTAGTGGCCAAAAGCTTAACACCAAACACTAACAGTATTGGCTGACATCTTGGTTCAACCCTTCATTGTGGTGTGGTCTCTATCTTTCTGGCCTCAGTCAAATGGGGTTAATAAGAATATTACCACATTGGGCTAGTACAAGAATTGAAAGATTTAACTCCTGCAAACATATTGCTCAAAAAATTTGAATGACAAGGAGGGAGGGACATTAAGCAACAGAAGAATATGGGAAACTGAAAAGAACAACTTAGAAAGAAGACTTAATAGCTGCCATTTGAAAAAAGGCTCCACTTTATTCTGTGTATCTACAGAAAATAAATGAAAACCTTGGTTCAAACTACCAGAGGTACATTTCAGATCAATATAAGGAAAAATTGAATGCTGGACAAAAAAGCTGTGATTTCTTATGACCATTAGGTCACAGACACATTCTCTTTTCTTATTCCATACCTGCCTAATTGAAGACCAAATCCCCTTCCTCTTCTGGATTAATTATCTGATAAGAAATTCTAACATCTGAGGCGTCTGAGTGGGTCAGTCAGTTAAATGCCACAACTCTTGATTTCTGCTCAGGTCATGATCTCACAGTTTTGTGAGTTCAAATCCCATACTGGGCTCTGTGCTGACACTGCAGAGCCTGCTTGAGATTCTTCCTCTCTCTCTGCCCCTCCCCAGCTAGCACTCTCTCTGTCTTCCTCAAAAGTAAATAATAAATTAAACACTTAAGAAAAAGAAATTCCTAACATTATAATGTAAATGCAAGTAAAAAGTCTGAAGGCAGGCATGTTACTAACACATTCATCCAGAGACTCATGGACACTCCAAGAGACTTTTCCTAAGGCAGCTGTTCTGAGTTAGCAACATGGCTTCACTCACATGTACTCAGCTTAATGTAATTGAAATGTAAACGTATTTGGTATAAAAAACGGGGAAAAAAAGGCTGAAAACAATGCTAGTAAATACACAAAATAGGAGAACAATAAAATTTTAAACTAAAGAAAAGTAGTTGGGTTAGAAACATTTTCTAGAGCACAGATGATGGAAGGAGGGGGAGACAGCCACTTGCACAGCAGCGGTGACAACTATAAACTGTAGGAAACACATCAGAAATCATAAAATGAAGGAAAGGTGGCAATAATGACATATAGCATATGGTAGCTGAGTTAGTATAATGTACACATAAACATCCTAAATTAGTAAATTCATCATACTTGGGAAATTTTAGGAAAAGTGCAATACCAAGAAAGTATAATGGACAAAATTTAAGTTCTTAATGGTCATATTACATTATAAAATGCTGGAGTAAAAGGACACTTTTTTGAAAGTCAGAGTTACCATTCACCAAATGAAAAATATTATTTAACAAAAGTCCCTATTATGCTCGCCTGATTAGATAGCAGGTACTCTAGTAGAGACCAAAATTGATTGTGGAATCTTCTAGGTTAGCACTTACTTGTGAAACTGTCATGGGACACACATAAATTATTATGAGTAGAAATCACCAAATAGAAGGCAATAATATATATATATATATATATATATATAGAGAGAGAGAGAGAGAGAGAGAGAGAGAGAGAAGAAAGTATTCTTTCGATGTGGCAAACCAACACACATTAGGTGTCTGTGTAATGCAAAGCACTGGATATCATTTATTAACTTGCTTTTCAAAGTTTAAAAATTTGCTTCTGATACATTATCTACTTTAAAATGTACTTAATAATTTGGCTGCTTTTCATCTTCCTATGCCTTATTAATAAACAGGATCCAAAGTTTTTATACTCAGAGACCTATAGGAAAGAGTTGAAGAAATAATCAGCAACATAGGATAAGATATTAAAAAACCTGGATTCCTTCCCAGCTAAGCCACTGATAAACTAAGCGACCTCAGTCTGGTCACTAAACTTCTCTGAGCCTTTATTTTCCCACTGGCAAATCATAACTAAATTTGCTGTGCCTGTTTCAAAGGGCTGTTGTCCAAATTGAGCAAAATACCACACAATAGCCCTCAGAAAAACATGAAAAACTTTGGCACCCTGAAAAAATTTTGAAGATTTATGGATGTATTTTCATAATCTACATGAAAAGAACAAGAAATACAACTGCCTCCTTCTTAGTTTGTACGAAAAGACACTCAAGACTCTTTTGCTAGAAATCTCAATTGAATGAAAGGTGTGATTTAAATTATATGTATTTATATGATATATAAACTATATATATAAACTACGGGAAAAGCCAGTTGACTCAAATTTTTTAAAAAATAGTCTCAATGTACAAAAGCTCCTTCCAGTAGATGGCAGTATGCACATTTTTGAGGGGGGTAAAGGCTGCTACATACACCTGGAGGTACTTATTCACCAGTTGTTATGTCTGTCTTTTCCTATATTTACACATAAATAAAATAACTTCCTCAAAATTAAATACAAGTTTTAAAATATTCTAGCCTAAGGAAAAACACTGAGTCATTTGACTCTTGAAAACAAAGAAAAATATTGAAGACATCTTTATTTAGATTGTTTTTCAATGTCATCTATTAAAACACACATAAAGCACAGAGAAACTCCAAGAATCTGACTACAAATTAATCACAAATTTTAACAATCAATAAATTCTATACTGAATGAAATAAAAACATCTCATACTGAACCACTTGAATCTGTCAAGATGAACTACAATAATATTGGTCAAGAACGAATTTTACAACTCTTAGTGACAAGGAATGCATTTTTCCCCTAAAAGCAACATCAAAAACAAACAAAAACAGCAGTTAATATTATATAGAGCTTTCCAGATTCCAGACACTGCTTTCAATACTTTATATGAATTCATATAATCCTTGCAACAACTTCAGAGATCTTTTCATCTCCATTTTGGATCTAAGAAGTTGAAGCCCAGAGAAGTAACTTGCCCAAGGTCACACAGTTAACAGACACAGCAAAGGATGAAAGCCTAGACAGTCTGACTCCAGAGTCAGTGGATTTCACCATATTGCTAGACTTCCACAGACCTCTAAACCACAGGTCTATCCCTATGCATAAACCTGATGGATTTAGAATAATCAATAGTGATTTGCTAGCCCTGAATTTAAGAACCTGGTGTATAAGCATACTGAGAAAGAGGTCTTAATAACTTGACTTCCTTTTCATAATCTTCCTCCATGTAGATTTTGAGGAAATAAGGAATTGAGCTCT